ATAAAATTTTGGGTTGTTACAGAGTGTAAGCCTGGGATTGAATCCTTTGGCCAACATTTTCTTATTAAAGTATAATTGAAGTATTAGGCTTTGGAAAATTATTTAAAGTGGGATTTAAACCCTTAACCTCTTGATTAATTAATAATCAAAGTCTCTTCCACTTGAGCAACTTCAATCTTTTAAAAACTATCTTTGTTTATATAATATATTACTTAGGCTTGAAAGATTATTTATATTTAAAGGCACTTTTATAGAAAATCATAAATATGTTGAGAATGGTTTAAACTACCAAAAGCTATGATTTGCCAAGAAAGCTCTATTCTAGAATTATATACGAGCATATATATTTTGGGAAATGTTATACTTGATTTTGGGAATATGTACATATGTACACTATGTATGAAGTATATATTTGATCATAAAGATATTTGAAGCTTATTCTATCATTTCTCTAAAACTACTTAGTTAGTGCAATCTTATATTTTGGGAAATACTATGTATCCCTAGAAAGGTTTAACCCAATAACTTTTGATCTATAAAGTGTATAACCCATGGACTCCCAGAGCTATTTTCAAAACTCTGTGAAGTCTTTTGTTGATGTTGAAATGAGTAGAAATGCTAGATATTTGAAGTGTTTGAGCTATTAAGTGATTTATTGTTGGTTTATGATGTGTTGTTGATGGTTTGGATGAGTTAGAATTTGCCTGAGATGTTGTGCAGATGAGAAGAAGACCTCTAGTGCACAGATAGTGTGCACCAGTAAGTCTAACGGCCCCAGCCAATGGCTCACCAAGGAGACCGTTGGCTAGCACCGTGGCAAACCGGCCCTAGGGGACGACCCTAGGAGAGGGCCGTTGCCTAGAGCCGTGTTTTAGGCGGTTTGATGCGGCGGGCCTAGTTGAGCCCCGCTCTAGCCCCTTTGAGTTTTATCTGTGCAGTGGCCGGGCCCTTGTAGCTCAGCTACATGTCGTTTCGGATGAGGTATCGCTGGCCCTTGTGGCTCGGTACCTCGGGGCCGTCTTGACGCACGTTTTGGCTTTGATTTCGTCAACTTTGGTTGAGTTTTGAGTAAATTGTGCTAGTTTTGTGGAAGGAGTTAATGCAGAGGTTGTTTACAGTAAATAGAGAAGTGAAGCATTAGACTTAGACTTTCTACCTGTTGAGCATGCTATTATCCCTTTGTTTAGTAGAAAAGCATGAACACAATGTGTTAAACTTTGATAGAAAATCATGCCTAAAGTGTATACTATGAATTACTAAGTTTATTGCCAAGTTATTATTACCATGAAATGTGCAAGTTTGCCTATCTTGAAAGTTAATTTGCAGTAAATGATTTCCCTTGAGTATTTTTGAGTTCTAATAGCATGTCAACTAATTGCTAAGTATTTATAGAGAAGATTAGTCAAATTGTGAATTTCATGCATGATTTATGAAATTGTTGAGTTTCACAGTGAATGGAAGTTAGAAGCATGTTTTACAGTAAATGACATCTTTGAGCATTCCATGTTTTAAAAGTGCATAAGTGGCCAATGTGAGCCTAAGTATTATTTTCAAAAGTCTCATATCCACTTTGGAGAGTCATTATCTTGCCATTTGAAATTGAGTTGAGAAGTTATGTGCATTTTTGCATAAGAAAAGTGTTGCCTGATTTGAGTTGCATGAGTGATATCTATCTATGGAGCCCCAAGCATTACCAATCTTTTTTTTTTGTCGATGACTACTATATCTTTTGCAAAGCCACATCCACTGAAATTGCCACCCTGAAAAATACCATTGATTCTTTTGCCTCAGCTTCTGGCCAAACAGTGAACTAAACAAAATCCCCCCTTACCTTTAGCCGCAATGTGGATTTGGGAACAAGAATGGATGTCTGTAATATTCTCAACATGAATGAGGGAACTTTGAATAGGAATTATTTAGGACTTCCATCTTTGATGGGTAGGAACAAACGTGAAATTCTGGGTTTCATTAAGGAAAAAGAAGTGAATCGAATCAAAAGTAAGACAAAAAGGTTCCTATCTAGTGCTGGGAGCTGAGGGGAATTCTTTTAAAAAATGTGATCCAAGCTATACCAACCTTTATGATGAGTGTCTTCCTTCTAACTAATGAGCTGTTTAAGGAAATTGAAAGAGTCATGAATGGTTACTGGTGGGGCTGTGAGAGAGGTAAGAGTAAGGGAATACGTTGAAAGAGTTGGGAGGCCTCGTGTGTCCCAAAGATTTGGGGAGGTATGGGTTTTAAAAAGCTTCGGGAATTCAACATTGCCATGTTAGGAAAACAAGCGTGGAGACTTATTCACTACCTTAGTTCCTTGTTATATAGAGTCTACAAAACTAAATATTTCCCAAGAACCACATTTTTTGATGCTCAAATGTGTAGTAATCCTTCTTATATATGGCGTAGCATTCTTGATGAGTCACAAACTACCCTTAAAAGGGGTTGTAAATGGAGAGTTGGTGATTGTGCTTCTATTAATATTTGGACTGATCGTTGGATTCTTAATAATACACCTCCTTTTGTTCATTCTCCCATGGTGGATCACCATCAAAATATCTCTGTGGCTAGCCTCATCAGCACAACTGATTCATCTTGGAATGTCCCTCTAATAGAGGAAATCTTTGGTCAATCTGATATCAACCTCATTAAGAGTATTACTCTTGCTGACAATATGCTCGTTGACAAGATCATCTGGATGGAAGAGGAAAATGGTGCCTATTCAGTATGGAGATGCTAGAGGAGTTTAGTTGAGAATCACAACAACACACAGCCTCCTTTTTGGCCAAGAATCTGGAAGATGATGCTCCCTCCTAAGATAAAGTGTTTCTTTTGACAGCTATGTTCAAATCTCCTGCACTTACAATCTACTAAGAACAAGGCATGTCAATGTCCCAACTACTTGCCAGCTGTACAATGGTGATGATGAGAGCATGCTCCACTTATTTATCAGTTGCCCTTTAGCGAGAAGCTGCTGGAGCTTGGTGGATGACTTGGACAATTTTTCGGGTAACTCCTTTCTTGAATGGTTGGAATTCTATTTTGCTACAAAGAGTGATACAGAGCTATGCACCATTATTGCTACAGGCTGGAAAATTTGGGAGGCCCGTAATGAAAAGATATGGAACCAAACCATTCTCTTAGCTTCTACTATATGCCAAGTGCCTCAATATTTTACAGGAATGGAGAGATGTTGTTTCCACCTCTGCCGGACAGTCTTCAGGTAGAATGGCTTCTAAACCATGGACTAAACCGCCATCATGTCTGCTAAAAGTGAATGTTGATGCAGCTATGGATCAGATTAACAGAAAGATTGGCCTGGGCTTTGTGCTTCGTGACTCCGTGGGTGCTTTTGTTGTAGCCATAATTCTCCCCGTATTCAACCTCTACAAGCCTAATGAAGCCGAAGCTATTGGTGTCCGGGAAGCGCTAAAGTGATTAAAGGCTCTCCAGTATGATAACATCCATGTGGAAATTGATTGCCTACAAGTTGCCAAGAACATTCATCATCAACACTTAATCTCTTCCTTCGATCTCATCCTTGATGATATTAGGGAATTAGCTAAATCTTTTATTAATGTTAGCTTTTTGTTTGCTAAACGGTCCTTGAATAGGGTAGCCCAATTACTTGCTCGGGAAGCCCCTATCCAAGTCTGACTATTCATACAATTTTCATGTCCCTTTTCCCTTTATTTCGGATGTACCGATTTCGGACCTTAATTAATATATTTCTTCGTTTTCTTCTCAATAAATATAAATAAAATCAATAGAAAATATTCATTGTAAGACAAAAAAAATTTAGACCGTGTCACAAACTCTTGTTTAAATATAAAAATGTACTTTTTTTTTATAGTCTACACAACACTGTGTGGCTCATGGTCTACATAATAATTTTCCCTCATAAGTATTATAAGTATTATATTTTGATTTAAAATATTACATTTTTATCATAAGTATTACGCTTTCCTTTATAAGTAACAATCAATTTTTTTTAAACAATATTGACTCTATAGTAACAATCAATTTATAGTGATTAATAATACAATTTTTCTCAAAATATCATATTTTCCCTCAAAAATAAAAACTTATTTTAACAAAAAAGTCTTCTTATAATTTTACTTGAACGACTTTAAAGATCCTTGAATCTCACTCTTCGCTCTCTTTCTCCTTCTATAACTTGGGTTCTCTTGCACGCTCATTTATCATTGTCCCTTCACTCTTCACCAGAGCTAACCATGTACAAATATGTATTCATCTTTTATTTTTTTTTCTTCTCCTTTCATTCTTATTCTCAAATCTAGATTTTTTTAAAACTATGCTTTTATTAGGTTTTCCGTTTTTTTTGTGTTTGTTTTAACTTCAATTTTTGTACGTTTGGAAAAAAAACTTATTTTTTTAATTTTTTTTTTTGGAATAAGGGTCAAATAGGTTATCGAACTACACATTTTCAAAAAAAAAAAAAGGTTATCGAATTACACACGAAAATGTAATTAGACAATTGAACTCAAAAACATGCAATTTGATCTGTGAATAACAGAAAATGATACAATTAAATTCAAAATGACCTGCTTTCAAAAAAAAAATTATTTAAAATGACTTGTTTTACTTGTTAATGTGCTGACGTGGACGTTATAATATTAAAATAATAATAATATTTTATATATTATTATATTGTGATTAGATTGGTAACAAATGGATCTCCCAATCCCTTTAGGATTGTGAAACATCTTTTTAATATAAAATCCCTTTAGGAATTTTTGAACGCATCATATCGCTTCTACGTACATATAAAATCTCCCAATCCCTTTAGGATTGTGAAACATCATTTTTAATATAAAATCATTTCTCAAAGGCATCCCTCCGTCGTCGCGGCTTCTACGTACATATATATATATATTCGCATTAGCCGTTTCGATCTCCAGATCTGAATTCCCTCTGGTTTGCTCTCTCCGCATCTGCGCTCGATTTCGCCTTTTCCGATCGGTTTGGGTAATTCTCCAGCTTCAATGGAGGAGTTGGAATGTTTGGAACTAAGGCAAAAGCTGAAAGAAAGATTTAGAAAGAAGATGAAGAAAGAGTTGGGAAGTGTAAGTGCTTCGAGTTGCCGTTCGGATAATTTTGGTTCCTTCTTTGGACCTTCACAGCCAATTATATCTCAAAGAGTAATTCAAGAAATGAAGTCCTTATTGGAAAACCCCGATTTGGCAGCTAAAATTATGAGGAAAAATAATATTATTGCTAGTTGTAAGGTTCATGTGAGACCAAAGTCCAGTACTAGTAACCATGCACCAAAAGCAAAAGTAGTTTCCAATGGGGGGGTTAAAACGAAACGAAAATCCAGATGCTAAAATACACAAGGGATTATTCGTTTTTGTTATCTGATGATGTTCCTGCTCCTTCAAAACCTTCTTTGCTTCAAAAAGGTAATTCTGATTCACGGTCAGCACCAAAAAACCAGTCTTCAACAGTGCCTAGACAAAACCCTTCAAAACTGCAACCTTCCATTTCAAAACAGAAAAAGATGATTCAGAAACCAGATGCAAATGTTCCAAAAGTTTCTTTGCCTCAAAAAGGTTCTACTCCCAATTCTTTCAAGTCTTTGGATGTAAAGAGACCCATGCCTAACTTGTCTAGACAAAATCCTTCAAAACTGCAACCTTCCATTTCAAAACAGAAAAAGATGATGCCTAGCAAGCCAAAAATGATTCAGAAACCAGCAGCAGCTATGTCATCCTCAAGACCTGCGGTGGCAATGCAGAAACATTCAGTAGTGCCCTCCTCTAAACCTCAGGTTGTAATGCAGAAACAACGAGTGGTTCCATATTCTAGACCCCCCCAACCGCCTGTGAAAAATCCAGCACAACGCCCGGCAAAGAGGAGATTGGATAAAGAAGAAGAAGAAGAAGAAGATGGAGCAGCAGCAGCTATTAGTATGATTAGACAGATGTTTGGGTATAATCCCAATAGGTACCGCGATGATGATGATGATAGTGCTATGGAGGCTGGTTTTGATGACATACTGAAGGAGGAAAGACGGAGTGCCAAGATTGCGAGGAAGGAGGATGAAGAAGAGCTACGTAAGATACAAGAAGAGGAACAAATGAGAAGACAGGCAAAGAAGCGCAAGATGACCTGAATATAGCAAAAGATGAAATTAAAGAAGATATGTGTTCTATCTAGTATCTTGAGGGTAATGGCCTGGGTTACGTTGTTGGTTGATGTGGGTGGGTTGTAGGGGGGCCTCCGCATACCTTATTTTTTTTAGTCAGTAGGGGAAATTAAAATTTAATTTTATTTGATGATCACAATTGAATTGGAATAATAGCAGCGTCCCTAACTTGCTACTTAGAAAATAAAATTCCCTTAGAAATGTGAAATGTCATTTTAGAATCCATAATTTTGTCTAACATACATTTTTAATCCATATAAATTTAAATTTTAACAGAATTGAGAGGGAGAAATTTCACCCAATAATTCCGACTTTACACATCACCAATATGTGTTCTTGAGGGTAACAATCGTTATATCGTGGACTAGGGTTTGTAGACCACAGTGCACTGTGAACCCTGGTCCAATACGACATCGTTTCGGTTAAGTTGGTGGAGAGTTGACTAGACGGACACCGTTCAGTCCGTCCAATCCCGTTACAATGTTTCAGTTTAACACTTGTGTTTATGTGTATTACATTAAGAGTTTATGTGTACTATGCTAAAAGTTATGTGTATTAAGTACTATGTTAGATTAGGTGTACTACGTTAGGAGTTTATGTGTATTATACTATACAATTTTGTAGGAAAAATTAAAAATTAATCTAATTTTATTTGATGATGACAATTGAATTGGAATAATAGCAGCGTCCCTAACTTGCTACTAGAAAAAAAAATCCTTTAGAAATGTGAAATCTCATTTTAGAATCCGTAACTCTGTCTAACATACATTTTTAACCCATATAAATTTAAATTTTAACAAAATGAGAGGTGAGAATTTCATCTAATAATTCCAATTTTACACATTACCAGTTATTACGGTGAGTACCTTATAGAATTATAACTTTTATTATATGAATTAACGTTACGAATAAATTATTTTTAACAGTAGCACAACTACTCCACTGCACCAGAAGAGATGACGGATGGAGCAAGGTAGGAGATTTAGAAGCTATGCATTAATGTAGAAGACTATAGGTAGATTAGGGAGGTGAATTTTTTCTTTCGGCCTCTCAAATCTATAATTCTTCTAGGTACGTTAAATCGTAAACAACAATAGAGGAAAGATGTGAAGAGGAATTCTCTATCAATAATGGTGTGATGAGTTTTGATATGAGCTATAATAATATATGAGAGGATAGATTATTTGTGGATTTGGGTGGTTGGTGTTGGAATTCGAGCTCACAAATCTATGATTCATTTATAAAACATTATTGATGGACATTATTATAGGGCTTAATGGCCTAATTTGTAACAGTCAATCTTAATGAATAGATTTGTAGCAGCTACCCATTCTTGTGTATATATATTGTACAATGCTTGAATGAAAGGACACACTGATTTCTTCTAATTCTGGTCATTCTTACTATCACTTCTCTCTACTCTTTTACATTTCCTGTTTTAGTTCATAGATTATATTGCTTACAATACACTCTTTTACATTTCCTGTTTTAGTTCATAGATTATATTGCTTACAATACACCGGTTAGGAGCTAACGGGCCAACGGGCACCACAATTACAACACGTTATCAGCACGCTCAATCCCGGTGATCGGTACTTTTATGATTTTCTAAGCATTATTTCTAGATGTCTCAAATTGCATATTTGTACTATGAGTTTCTGTTTATGTGGAATATGTCTAAGCATTTTTTATATACATGCGAATTCATATGAATGTTCGAATACATATATTTTTTTCATATACAGATAAACATTATTTTTTTTGTATACATATACTTTTGGAAGTTCAAACAAAATGGTTAGCAAAAAAGAAATTGAAGGCAGTGATGATAGGCTGATAGCAGTGGTGCTGTAGCAATGAGATGGTATCTTCTGTTTCAACTCAAGAGGACCGAAGTAGGATTAAGAGGAAGTTTTTGTCTGAATTCCCATTAGACATTCCATATATTCACTTGCTTTTTGACAGAATTTCCAATGTAGTTGTTTGTTTTGCTTCTTTGCATAAAATACATACATATATTGACCAACATGAGGAAGAAGAAAGCAAGATAAGGAAAAGACCATTGTATCCCCTACACTAACGCCTAACTAACTGAAGTTTAACGGAAGGACTAATGCTGGAACAAATCTGATAGTCAAGGGTTTTTTTCGTCCAAATTGAAAGACAAGGACCAATTTTGGAAAATACTCATACAGTGGGAAGAAGAAAGGAATAGATACACCTGAACGTTAAGACTAGGAAAAACAAATAAACATAAACCAGGAAAAAATTAGAGGCCTAGACTAAATCTTAACACGCCCCACAAGATTGAGGCTCCATCAGTGAGCCCAAGCTTGGACCGGAACACCGTGAACAAAGGCAAACTAAGAGGTTTAGTCAGAAGATCATCCACCTGCTCAGTGAAACAGACATAACGAATGCGCAGGGAGCCCGAAGTAACCTATTCAGGCACAAAAAAAAAAAAAAAAAAAGTCAAGTGCCAAGTGTTTCACCCGTGAGTGAAAGACCGGATTTTTGCACACATATGAAGCACTCAGGTTGTCAGTGACTAACAATGGTGTAGATTGTTGGCGAACCCCAAGCTCACGCAACAAACTCTGAACCCGGCCACATAACTTCAGCAGCATCATTGGCAAGTGATCTGTCTTTCTGGCACGAAACTGCTTTGGTTTGGACTAATAAGATCAGGCATGATGTGCTTAAGTCTATTAGTCATCACCTTAGTTACCAACTTATAGGCCACATTGCATAGACTAATGGGTCGAAGTTGCATAATTCTTTCTGGATTCTGCACTTTAGGGATGAGCATGATATTTGTCTCATTAAGGCCCTCTGGAAGGGTGCCCTCTCTGAAGAAGTTATCAACCTGCTTGTACATCCAACTCCCAACCGTATTCCAAGATTTTTTATAGAACATTGCATGGAAGCCATCTAGACCTGGGGCCTTGAGGGGGGCCATATCCATAATAGCGTGTTTAACATCCTCTAAAGTCACCGTTTCATTGAGACGATTCCAGCATCCTCCGGTATACTTGGAAACCGACCGTTTATTGCTTCCCTCGTCACATTTCCAGGTTCATAGGAGTAAAGTCTTTTATAATACTCCTGTACCAGGGTTTCAAATATGTGTTTTGTCATGGATCCACCCATCATTTTTGTTTTTGAGACTGAGAATCCTGTTCCTGGTACGGCGCACCATAGTCATGATAAAATTTCGTGTTCAAGTCACCGGACGCTATCCAATCTTGTTTCGATTTCTGAAACCACTTCATCTCTTCCTGATGAAGTGCATCATCTAGTTCCTCCCTTAACTTCCTTTCTAGATATATAAGACCATTGCTTGGATAAATGACTATGTTGACTCAAAGTGTTTTGTCAAAGTTATGTGCAAAAAGAATTCCAACTCTATAAAGGAATACCAAGCCTAAGAGGAGTAGTTATTGAAGAATACTAGTTCTAAAGGGAATTGTTATTGAAGTTTTTTCTAGTTCTAGTCTGATTAGGAATAGCTTTGTTATTCACGAATCTGTTAGGAGTAGCTACTATAAATAGGGGTTGTCCTTTATTGTAGAACTCAAGCATTCAACATTAATCTTGTGAGGTACGAGAGTCTTTGAGAATAGGATACTAAATTTCCCTAGAAAGTAGTACATGTGTTTAGGTTTCAATAGTTTGGTAGGAAAGATCATTCTATTGTGTAATCTCACGTTCCAAACAGTGTACTTTAAATATTGAACTTTTAGTGGATTTAGGCAAGTTCTCAAATTGAGAAGTGCCTCGCAGATTAGGGTTGTTTGCCCGAACTGCGTTACAGATCGTTTGTGTTACAACTTACATTTCAACATCACTGTGTGTGTCGATCCTTAAAATTCTACAATTGGTATCAGAGCGGGCTGCTGAAATTACTAGCAGGATCCTACATAATCCAAAGGAACGACACAATGGATTTTCCCAGAGAAGGTTTATCGAATAGCAGACCCCCAGCCCTGAATAGTGAAAATTATTCCTATTGGAAGACTAGAATGAGAGTTTACATCATGTCCCAAGGTGAGAGAGTGTGGAGAGCAGTAGAAGAAGGCTGGGAACCACCTACTAATGAAAGAGGAGAAAAGAAACTAAAAAGGGAATGGTCTGAGGCTGAAATCAGAGAAGCTAACTACAATTCAAAAGCCATGAACTCTATATATGGGGCAGTGAGTGAAGAAACTTTTAAATTGATTTCTAACACTGAAATTGCCAAAATAGCCTGGGAAATCTTATGCAATCATCACGAAGGCAACACCATTGTCAAACAATCAAAACTACAGATGATTCAAACACAATTCGAAACTCTAAAGATGGAAGAAGACGAAAACATCACACAATTCAATGCAAAAATCCTAGATATAGTTGGAGCTGCATACAATCTAGGAGAACCTTTTTCCGAACCAAAATTGGTTAAAAAGGTACTCAGATTACTACCTGAAAGATTTCTCATGAAAGTCACAGCCATTCAGGAAAGCACAAATCTGGACACATACAAACTAAGTGACCTAATGGGAAATCTCCAGACGTACGAACTGGAGATGCTACAAAGAAAACCAAATGATTCAAACAAAAGTTTGGCATTTCAATCCAAGCAACGTGCAGATTCAGATGAGGACACACAAAGCATGGAAGAGTCTATTGTCGTGCTCACCAAGAATTTAAATAAAGTGGTCAAGAAGTTCAACAAATTCAAAAATAAAAACAAGAACTTCTCAAATAACAATGGAAACAACACAAAAAAGGAAAAGCCTCAAAATACCGAGGGGATACAGTGCTTCGAATGCAAAGGGTACGGACATATCCAATCAGAATGTCCAACGTACTTGAAAAGGAAGAATAAAACCTATGTCACAACACTTAGTGACGATTCCGATAGTGAAGATGAAAATTCCAACTTTGTTGCTTTCACTACCAGGCACGAAGAAGAAAATACCTCTCAAGAGGACACACAAGAGCTATTCGAAGCATACACACTGCTACAATCAAAATGGCACGAACTCATTAGAGTTAATACAGAACTCATGCAAAAGAATCGTGACTTACAAATTGAAAAAGAGAGAGAATTTCGGGAACATCTGGAAACAAAGGAAGAACTAAAGAAATTCTAGAAAAAGGAAGAGGAATTAACAAGGAAAATACAGTCCCTTGAAGAAAATTTGCAGAAAACAGAAAACACTGACAACAGACATACAGAAAACCCAGAGTTGTTACAACATCACTTTCAACACCGAAGGAGAATCAGATGTTACTACTGCCACAAATTGGGACACATAAAGGCGTACTGCTTCAAAAGGCAAAATGATCTCTATCACAGGCAAAACAACAGAGATTGGGCAGCACAAAGCAAAAATAACAGCAAGAAAATCTGGGTAAGAAAAGATCAGAATGTTGCCTACACCTCAAAAACTAGCAAAGAACAAAACGTATGGTATTTTGACAGCGGGTGTTCAAGGCATATGACTGGAAATCCAGAAAACCTAGAAAACATTCAGTATAAGAATGAAGGACATGTTACCTTTGGAGATGGAGGAAAAGGCCAGATCATTGCAAGCGGCATCTTGAATGTCCATGGGCTACCTAGGTTGCCAAAAGTCCTCCTAGTACAAAGTCTAAAAGCGAATCTAATCAGCATAAGTCAACTTTGTGAAGATAAACTCAAAGTAGAATTCTCTAAAGAAAATTGCATTGTGTTTAATCAGAATCACAAGTGTCTCATGATGGGTAAAAGGTCCGCAAACAAATTCTATACATGGGATGGTGACCTATCTGGTTTACAGACAACTATCAAGCAAAAACAATCACGGCACCAACATATGAAACACACAAATTCTCATGACATCAAAGAGGACCAAGGAATATTCCTAGGTTATTCAGGTTATTCATCAAACATTAGGGCTTTCAGTGTAGACAGTACAATGGAATCCATGAATGTGGTTATTGATGACACAATTCCAATAATAACCACTAATGATGACGAAAATCGCAGAGTTGTTGAAACAACTGTTCCAACACCTCTGACTACTGTTATGCAGAATCACAAAATAGAAACAGAACCAGATGAAGAAAAGGATAAAAGACAATCTATTGATTTGAAAATTCAGAAAAATCATCATTTAGAAAAAATCATAGGGGATCTCAATCAAAGAATCAGAACCAAGGGAAAGAAACAAGATTACCTCAAAATGGACGAAGAAGATTATTTCTTCACCACCAGGTTTGAAACAAAGAATATTGATAAAGCACTAAGAGATGAATTCTGGATAGAAACTATGCAAAAGGAACTACAACAGTCTGAAAGAAACAAAGTCTGGGAATCAGTATCTAAACCCAAAAGATGCTAATACTATTAGAACAAAATGGATAAGTGTTGACAAAGCACTACTTGTTAAGCACTATGGAAACCAGATGGATTGGAAAAGGGGTAGTAAGACCAGTAGATGTGTTGGCACACAACCTGTTCGACAGAATGTCAAACTGGGCTCTGCTCATCTGTTTGATCTGAATGCAAGGCTAAACTGTGAGGCTGATGTTGAAGAAGTTGCGATAGGCTTGATGAATGAGATAGCTGAAACTGTATTGAGTGAGGTAGCATTCGTAGAGGAAGCTAGGCAGAAAGTGCTCCTTTCCTTTGACCATACACGATCAGATAGATCATCAGAAATCAAATCGGAGGATAATTGAAGACTTGTTCCCGGAGATTGATCAAATTAGCAAAGAAGGTAACCAATCTATATCTGTTTTTGCGACTGGTGAGACTGCCAGATTGAAGGAAAACTCTCCGATTGTGACAATCTCAAGCGGGGAATGGGAGGATCTAGTGAAATCGAAGGAGAGGATCGCTCTGGTGGGGCGTTTTTGCGAGAGAGCGTTCGCCTTTGGACCGCTTTAGGGCGGGGCTGATCAGAGAGCGATCGAAAAGAAAAATTTCTTTTTATAGCTGTCAAGAAATCAAGAAAAGAATGATGAAGTCAAAAAAAAAAAAATCAAGACAGCACTCATTAGATAAGAGAGATACGTGGAATCAATTAAGGGGGAGAAAAATCATAAATCAAGCCACTATGAGATCAAGATTTTTGCCAAAAATTTGACAAAGGGGGAGATTGTTGACTCAAAGTGTTTTGTCAAAGTTATGTGCAAAAAGAATTCCAACTCTATAAAGGAATACCAAGCCTAAGAGGAGTAGTTATTGAAGAATACTAGTTCTAAAGGGAATTGTTATTGAAGTTTTTTCTAGTTCTAGTCTGATTAGGAATAGCTTTGTTATTCACGAATCTGTTAGGAGTAGCTACTATAAATAGGGGCTGTCCTTTATTGTAGAACTCAAGCATTCAACATTAATCTTGTGAGGTACGAGAGTCTTTGAGAATATGATACTAAATTCCCCTAGAAAGTAGTACATGTGTTTAGGTTTCAATAGTTTGGTAGGAAAGATCATTCTATTGTGTAATCTCAGGTTCCAAACAGTGTACTTTAAATATTGAACTTTTAGTGGATTTAGACAAGTTCTCAAATTGAGAAGTGCCTCGCAGATTAGGGTTGTTTGCCCGAACTGCGTTACAGATCGTTTGTGTTACAACTTACATTTCAACATCACTGTGTGTCGATCCTTAAAATTCTACAGACTAAAATGTGTAGAAGGCCATGAGAAATTCCCAAAATGTGTGCTGACTTTTTTTTTGACAGAAATATGTAAAACTCTTTTACCAGTTGCGTTTTTGAAGCTGTCCCAGCTGTATTTTTTTTTTCGTTAATTACTTAAAACGCAATTGCGAGTTGCGTTTTTCGTATTGTATACGAAAAACGCAACTCCCAAATGCGTTTTCATGTGACGTATTGAATACGTTTAAACGCATTTGGGAGATGTGTTTTACGTATAATCCTATAAAATACGTAAAACGCAACTCCGAAATGCGGACTTTTTACCGGCGCTAGTCCGCCGGAATTCTGTGAAAAACGCAAGAATGAATTGCGTTTTTCGACTCTGAAAACGATTTCTACTTTGGAATTATAGGCGGTGCAACCATTGCCATGGAAAACCAAGGATTTCATCCATATCGTAAGTGTTTCTCTTTTTGAAGTCACGTAGTTAGAACAAGAATTGGAAGATGAAGATATCTGAGGATGGATTTTAGCCACCATTGAAATAGCTAACAAGCAAGCAGATTGAATTGAAGATCCTATATATCAGAGTATATTTTCGTAGAATGAAAAAACTAAACTCAGGCGAGTACACATGCATAAACTCAAGCGGCAGGCAAGGGTATATATAATAATACAGAGTAAGAAAACATACAAAATTGAAAAAAAAAATGAAGATAAAAACAGAAAGGGACAGACAAAAAGAGAGCATAGAAAGACGCAGGAAAGTGGAAAACATTTGACTTGCAACGATGGTTTGAGTGGAATTTGACGACAACCAAGGATGCGTTTTAGTTTTCAAGTCTGGTTCTCGCCGTCGCCGTGGTTTTCTTCGCGGTTGCCGGAAAGCGCCTGTACAAAAATCCAATAAACGCAACTTACTTTTGGATTTTCGGTATAATACGTAAAACGCAAGAGTAAGTTGCGTTTTTGCCTATACAGTATCCCCTAGAAAACGCATTTCGGTAATGCATTTTACGTATACGAATACGTAAACGCAACCACCTCTTGCGTTTTACGGAAATACCGAAACAAAAAAATACGCCGGGACAACACCAAAAACGCAACTCCCAAAGGAGTTTTGCATATTTTTGTCAAAAAAAAAAAGGCGACATAATTTGGGAATTTCCCAAGTTTGACTACACATTTTAGTCATTTATCCCCATTGCTTACGGGCGAGTCCATGCATCGTTGAATGCCATCAATCCTCGCCGTAAGTCTTTTTTTTTTCTTTTTTCTTTTTTCTAATTTCCAAATCCATCCTTGTTCCACTCACTACATTTTTTCTGCATGTTCACGACATTTTCCTGAAAAGATGCTCTTGGGTTCCAACCTCCTTCGACTACTTTCACAAACTTGGGATGAGTAGTCCAAGTAGCTTAGAACTGAAGTTGTGGGTTAATCCAGGTTCCATCGCAATGAGCAGCGGGGAATGGTCCGAGCAAATTCTCGTCATGTGCCTAATCTTAGTTCCCGGATATCGATTGATCCCGAGCGCGTCCCTTGAAAGGCCTTCCCAAAGCTTCTTTCTTAAGCTGTGCGTAGGACTCCCATAAACAAAGGAAATATGTACCATGTTCATGTTATTTTTACTAACTTTAGCCACCACAAACTGAGGCAATTTATATCTTTGGTGAACTGTCGTAGGCTCCCAAATTAAAACCTTACAATCGTAGTAGCGGGAGTAAGGATTGATCCCACGAGGAGTAACTAGTTTAACTTTTGTGCTCAAATTAAAGGTAGGGGGGTTTGGAATATATCGAGAATAAAGATAAAATAAAAGAGAATTTAAATAAACAAGAAATTTAATTGAACGAATAAAGCAATGAAAATGATATATCGAAAACACTTATAATAAGAAACCTTGGTTAGTAAATATCCACCACCGGAATTCAACACTGATCATTGATTAATAAATAATTAATATGCAATTGAATATTTGTCGTGAAATTATTTCATTTCCGTTTTCCCTTAGTTGTAGGTAACTAAAGCACACGCGGTTTAATTACCCCTAATTACTAAATAACCTAAGACAAGCGCTATAGATTTAATTTAATAGCAGCAATAGGAACTAGGAAAACCGACAAACTAAATAACACAAGCACAAGCGGTTGCATTTAATTTAGGAAAATATTCTACCCGAGACCAATTATCACTAAGCCGTCAATAATTAACCTCAGTTGCTACTGAATATTAGAATAATTTGTAGCACAACATTATCTAATATAGCAAATAATTATATCAAATAAATAACTAGCAGGCCTCCCTAGCAATTAAATGATACAACTATTCAAATAATTTTAGCAGAATATTTAATACTCAAATGCATAGAAACATATATAATAAAAATAAATAAATAATCTTACAGCATAATCAATTCCGGGGCATCAATTCACTAAGCCAAGCTAGAAGAAATTAGCCACGAATGGACATTGGTAACAACTTTAAAGAATAATCGAGAGGGGAAGAA